CTCAGCAGTAAAAAAGGAATAAACTACTGATACATGCTACAACATGATGAATCTCAGGAAGCCCAGGCAAAAAAGAAAAAGTATATACTATATAGTTCCATTTATATAAAATTTTACAAAATGCAAACTATGCAAACAGAAAGCAGATTGCCAGTTGCCTAGGGATGTGGAGGAAGGGTGGGAGGAAAGGATTACAAAAAGATACTAAAAACCTTTTGAAAGTAATAAATGTGTTCATTATCTTGATGGTGGTGATAGTTTCATGGGTGTCTACCAATGTCAAGTTTATCAAATTGTACACCTTGAATACATGCAATTTATTGTATGTCAATTATACTTCAATAAAGCTATTAAAAATATTTGCTGCTCAAGCAAATGAGCTTACAAACCCAGGCTAACACAGTAAGGACTGAGCCAGGAAAAGCTGAATACATTGAATAAAGTCTCGACACCCGAAAGAATGATTACACCAAGAAAGCCTTGTTTTTAGGTGACACATCAGCATGGTAGTAGAAAAAGCAAAAACTACATTTTGGTTCTTTATTGCTCAATAGAAATGTTGCTCGAATCTCATACATTTTAAAGGCTTTACGAATGGCTGCAAGGACCTGCCTCTCTGTGACTTCATCTCCTGACCCCACCCCACTTGCCCAGTACCAGGCTCTTTTTTCTCAACTTGAACTCACAACCTCCTCTCCAACCCAAGGCCCTGTACTCTCTGTTTCTCCCCCCTGGAACAATCCTCACAAATTTCTCCAGGGCAGGCTCTTTAGCTCATGTGTCAATTATCCATTAGAGGGGTCTTTGCTGACTGCCCTATCAAAGAAACTTTATTAGCAATTACTTTCTATCATATCATCCTACTCTATTTTCTTATTTAGTCATGTTTTTTTCAACCACTGCTATGTAAGTTTCACTGGGAACATAAACCATATCTTCTTGTTCAGTACTTTATTTCCAGCACTCAGAATTGTGCCTACCACATGGTAGGTACACAGTAAATATTTTTTGAAAGGATACAAATGTTCTTTCACTTATTCTAAATAACATCTGTGCTGAACTTCTAGAGACAACTCCAACAATCTGACTGTCAAAATTCCTTGATGAAAAGGGTCTTTGATACCTACATGATCTTTTTCCACGTCAACCAGTCGGCCACAGCACTAAAGCATGTGTTTGCCTCCTTGAGACTGTTTGTAAGCAAGGTAAGGATCCTTAAGGTTCCAGCAAAAGCTCAGTTAAGGATGATAATGAACATGTAATAATCCTTAATCTCTCAGTATGAAGGGAAGAAGGTTTGTTTTCTTCTATTTTGGTTTTATTAGACATTGATTCCTGGTCTCAAAATTAGCTCACAGCGTTAGCAATCTATCTGCTTGGATATTAAAAGGGAATAAAACTAGCCACCAATTCTTTGGGTTCTCAGTTTCAGTGTTTGTGGGATTGAGTTAGAGAAAATTTATACGCTCAATGTCATGTCTGTTCATGCCAAGGTAAGCATTCCACATTAAAGTGGATACAACTACTGCCTTTGAGCACACCTGTAAATAACATTTGTGATTTTAACAATGTCAGGTAAATAGAGGACATTTCAAAGCACTCAGTTATTTTGGGTTTTCATCAATGATTGATACAAGAGATACAATGTAAAGAAGAATTATTTCTAGGGAGAAAACAGAAATACTAACAGACTTTAATAAACAAAATTATATCCTCACTTGCAAAAGGAAAAAAAAGACTAGGTTGAAAAAATAAAGAGGGGATTTTGTTCTGGGGAATTGTCAAATATGAAAATTAACAAAGCAAAATGAAGGAAAGTTGCTCACTTCACCTGTTTTGCCGTTTCTGCAGTTTCCTTCAGCATTTTTTCAAGGGCCTGCAGACCTCTGTGGATCATTCTGCTATGAGGTCCTAAAATGCTGTAACCACAGGTCACGGTCAACTCAGACAGAAGCCTCAGCACTTCTGTACTTTTTCATGAGGAAGAATTTTGAAGTTAACAAGCAGAAGTCAATTGTCCGGTCCCACTTACAAGTAAGTGCTGCTAATTTTCATTAATGCTATTGTTAAAACCACTGGTCTGTTTCAGCAGTGATTAAGACCTGCTGTCCCCAGGTCAACCTGTAACTCCCCACCAGATTTCTCCTTAAAGACATCCATCACACTCGGCTCTGGGGTTGTAGGAGTTGCACAGCTGAGCAGAAACCAGCAGAGCCCATATCTCCCTTATGCTTTTTTTTCTTTCGCCAGGGGATAGAATTGCATAGAATAGACAACTCAGGAAATCATGGCTAGCTCAAGGAAGCCAAATCTCACCAAATTCCAAATACACACATTTCTTTCTTAGAGGCATCCCAAGATTCCTGCCCTGTATTACCTGGCTTTCTGAAGATTTAGTACGTAAAGATGTCATGCATTGGACCTACAGGAGAAATTAATGACACATTCATCCAATCCAGTGAATTTCTTTAAAACTACTATTTCTGATTTTGCTTTTGGGGATTCATATTTTTTTTCTCTTCCAGCTCATCAAGGCTGTAAGCCAATTAATAGCCGATGCTGGGATTGGAGGGTCTCGGTTTCAACATTCCCTTGCAATTACCAACAATTTTGCCAATGGAGACAAGCAAATGAAAGTAAGAAATGTTTTGTGTGCTTTTTCTAAACTGAAGTGGATTCTTTTTGTGAGATATCAAAATCATAAAAATATATGAATTCTGCATTGTGTTTGAGACTTTGAGACTTACATTGAGTTTGCTTGTTTGAATTGATAATCAGCTCTTACACTTTCAGCACATGATCTAATAAGTGGAATTTCCAAGAGGCATGGTTGAGTGGTACATAACAAGAAGATTTACCATAAATATCCAGAAATACAGTAATTCACTCATAACTCCATTCTTGGGAAAATTCATCTTATCTTTCTTTTAGCACTTTCTGAAAACTCCTTCAGTCATTATATTGAAAATCCCAAGGCTAGAGCCAGGCTTTAGTCATGGCTAGACCCAGGGATGAAAGCAAATCTTTCAGATTCCCTCCCCCTTTATCTTTCTTTTAGCACTTTCTGAAAACTCCTTCAGTCATTATATTGAAAATCCCAAGGCTATAGCCAGGCTTTAGTCATGGCTAGACCCAGGGATGAAAGCAAATCTTTCAGATTCCCTCCCCCTACTGCCTCTATTTTGCCTCTGTCTCTGTGTCTCAGTTGAGTTTTCCTCTTTCACTTCATTTACAGGTAGGTTCTCCCCATCTCTGAGCTTGCACTCAGAAATTCTAAGGATGCTGTTAGTGTCTTATGAGTGGAAACTAACTTATTTCAATACTGTTGTTCCAGTTAAAGTCCCAGCACTGAAATTTTTTGATCCAACCTTGTATCATATGCACAGTTCTAAACCAATCACTGTGGCCTTGGGGATCAAAGAATATAACTGGCCAGGCCAGTGTCATGTGCCACCCATGGTGCCTAGGAATGAAGTCAGACCTATTTATATAACAAGAACTAGAGTCAGGAAGGAGAAGGATAATTGGGATGTTTTACTACAAAAGGGTGAGCTAGCTAGAAGACAAAAGAATAGTCTTCTACAGTTCTTATCTTCAATTGTATATAACCATAGTCACAATGCATAGAATGCATGTATATAAAATGCACACACTTATGAACAATGTATAGAATGCACCAAATTGTGCTGTCATGTCATAATTACTAGCATAATGTGAAGTTAACATATGAATTCTAAACAGATAATGACACAGGCTCTGTCTTTTCCAAAGAACAGCAATTTCCCAGCAGAGGTGAAAGACCTAACTAAACGTATAAGGACAGTTTTGATGGCCACAGCTCAGATGAAAGAGCATGAGAAGGACCCCGAGATGCTGGTGGATCTCCAGTACAGCCTGGCCAACTCCTATGCGAGCACCCCCGAACTACGGAGGACCTGGCTGGAAAGCATGGCCAGGATTCACGCAAGAAATGGAGACTTATCAGAGGTGGATTAGCAAAGGCTCAGTCATTCATGATTGGCATTGCCCTCTTTATCGGGACAATTGGATTTTCATTTAGAGCATGAGTTATAAAAAGTTATCATATCTGTCCACTAATCTAGATATGACCCAACTATACATTATGTACAATAAATTCACATATAGGATTCAAGGATGCCTAACTTCAAGTAAATAAGATCAAATAAAGGCCAGAGTCAGGGGGACTGCATTTGTGTGAAGCATGACACAGAGCTGAATGCTAAAAACCTGAGGCTAAGGAGGGAGGTGAGAAAAGTGTCTAGAAATTGAGAGTTATATAAATTAATGTTCTGTGGTTTAAAACTTCTTCTCTGCCACTGGGGTGGAATGGGAAAGCTTGTCACCACGGCAGGTAAACCCAGGCAGGGGTCATCAGTCCTCATTTGCACTAGTGTGAACTGGTCATGGAAACAAATGACACTCCCTAGCACCATGTGAGGAGAGTCCATTGTGGGAAGATTACAAATCAATATCTAACTTTTTTATGTCACTTTAAACACTGAGTGGATTTATATATGGCAAATTACTGCACCCAAGGGCCTCTGAGTACCAAATGGGGAGGTGCTGCTCTATTCCCAGAACTATGCCCCTTTTGGGAAGAGGTTAATTTGTCTGGGGCAGTCCTAAAATCTGAAACCCTTCTAAATGCATGTGGTAATCAGGGACTCTGGAATGGAAACCAGAAGCCTGATTTCTGGTTTGGCAGCCATTTGGTGAGTACAAAAATGAGAAACTCCGGTTCCCTTGGACTGCCCTGAAAATGGTGAAATCCTTCCATAGAACTTCAAAAGAAAAAGCTGCAGTCATTTGGAATCTTCAGCAAGTCAAGTGTTAATATATGTTCAGCAGTGTTCAGGGCTTTCTTTATAGGAGATATTAGAGAAAAATAAAATATCACACATATCCTGGTTTGGGGGAAACACGCATGTTACATCAGGTGTCACTGTTTAATCAAGTTCTAACTTGTGAGGTGACCCTTTTAAAGCAATAGAAATTTAAGAGGGGCCATTACTGGAGGTAGAAAAAATTAGAGGGCAGATTATTTTTATTTCCAATTTAGATCCAGATACTGTGGTTTTAATTTAAAAAAAAAGAGAGAGACCTGTGGATTTTTTTTTTTTAATCTAGGTTTAGATATTAAGGGAGGAAGATAATTCTATGGGAAAATTCTTCAGGCTCCTTCATTCACCCATCTCAAAACTACATCAGAAAGAAAAAAACAAACAAAAAAATCCAAGTTCTCATTTTATTCTTGATGGTAATTTTGGGGGAAATCTATTGATTCTTGTTTTCAATTCTACCATTACAAAGGATTCAACTATATAATATATTCTGACATGTAGTACTGACTTGCCTTGGGAGATTAGTCCTAATTAGAAAACGAGTAAAATCCATCCTCTGAACCTGTTTTCTTTGTTGCTACAGGCTGCTATGTGTTATATCCATATAGCTGCCCTCATCGCAGAATACCTGAAAAGAAAGGGTAAGATGACCGTGTGGGGGAGGAAAAATGTCCAGAAATCAGCATGCTGAAATCTAACTTAAAATTAACTGATTAATTTTAGATTTTATTCATCTGTTACGTTTCATTAAGTAGCATTCACTTTCACAGATATTTCTCATTATGCTGTACTTTAAATTTTTTAACCCTATCATGCCATTAGCATATTTATTTTATTACAGCAAGGCTAACTGTATGGTTAGCTTCTCAGTTCAAAATGAGAACGCCTCACTAGTTAACGATTTGTAGTTTCATATGCTTGTATTAACACAAACATGTAGCGATGTCCTAACCTCATCTTGCACTACCATAGGTTACTGGAAAATGGAAAAGATTTGCACACCTTCCCTGCTCCTGGAGGATACCCATTCCTGTGATAGCAATCCATTACTAACAGCTCTTGGCAGAGGAAGTGAGTGATCTGTCATCCTTTACCCCCAGTGCAGAGAAAATCAGGCTGCTACTTGAATTCTACCTCAAGGAAACTTTCATAAATATATTCTTAGAAGCAAAAACTATCTCAGACCTGCATAACATACTGTGCAAAGATTTTAACCTCCTACAACTCAGAAATCCCATCCAAAATTTATGAAGTTTAGATAAAAAGTTCTCAGCAAATAGAACTATGTTACCCAATATTCAGGATTATGAGTTATGGCCATATTTAGCTACCAATCTGCATGCCAGTCTGCCATTGGAATTTTACTCTGAAATTAATGAATTGTTTAAAATGGCAATAGGACTCTATTTTAATTTGTAAATGTAATGAAATTGTTTATTCAGAACAAGAGATGCAAAAATGGAGACATACAAATACTGTATATATATGTAGGACTTTTTAATCTGAATGTTTCCTTTCATTTTTTTTAAGCATAAACTGACTCTGACAATTTATAACTTAATTTATATATAAATTTCCTTTAAATAAAAATATTCCATCTTTAATGTTGGATAAAAAAAGATTTTATAACAATGACTAAGGAGTTATCCTTTGTAAAAAATGTGGCAAAATCTGAATGTTTCCTTTCATTTTTTTTAAGCATAAACTGACTCTGACAATTTATAACTTAATTTATATATAAATTTCCTTTAAATAAAAACATTCCATCTTTAACATTGGATAAAAAAAGATTTTATAACAATGACTAAGGAGTTATCCTTTGTAAAAAATGTGGCAAAATAGTTAACACATTTAATCTGCATTCTCTTGCAAAAGTTTGTTCAAGCTCAAAGTTTATGAACTGCAATCTACCTTAATTTCCAAAATGCAGTAGGAAACCCATTCTATGAACAACAGAAATACATTGTTAGATGTTAAAATCAAAATACCTAAACAAAATATAAATGGGTTTTAGTTGCAATATTTCAGAAACATAATTCATTCCTTATTCTTTTAAATGTGTATATTTTCTAAAAGGAGCCAGTGGATTTTGCAAATAAGACATTTGAACCGAATGACCAAAGTGACCTGTAAGACGGTGAAGTCACTTGTTTGCAGATCTGGCCTCATGGGTCATGCCCACCCTGAAATTCAGGAAAACTGATAAAACCAGGTGTCAGTTTGAGAAGTTGTGAAAACTTATGTCCCCAAGTGTTGTATGAATCTTTAATATTCAAAAATTTTTAAACACCCACTTTCAGATCTAAGGTAATATTGGAATATAGCATGCCTATTGAGGAAAGGGTGTATTTATTTAGCAAACTTTAAAATAGGGAAGGTAGTTATTTATGATGCATTAGCACATATTCATATCCATCATATATCTGAAGTTCATTGGCATGTATTTTAAATCCATAATATACTTTTATGTCACAATGTTTCTCTGAGTCAGTAAACTATCCCTTCCCTACAATGTGTACATGATAAGAATATAAATGAGTATAGGCAACTCAAGAAAGTATAACTGCCTCAGTTGTACTAATAAGTGATCGTCATCCTGCAAGAAGTATGTTGTGACTTTTCCTTCTATAATCTTCAGTTTAATTACTGAAGATATATTTTATAAAAAAGTAGGAATGTAAAATTTTTTAGAAAGCAAGGATTGGATTGTAATAATTGCTATAATTATAATTTCTAGCATGTTATGGGACTGATAATTTATATAGCCAATGAGCTGATTATTAAAAAGAAAATATTTTACAAAAGTACTAAAAAGCACTTGCTACATGGAAGGCACTGCACTAAGCACTGTGCCGGCAATATCTCAATTAGGTGCCAGTAACAAATCTATGAGGTAGGTGCTGTTATCACCTCTTTTTTGTAGCCAAGAAGCCCAAGAAACACTAAATAACGTGCCCCAGAGCCAAAATTCAAGGGCTGGTCTGTCACTCCAGCCTGTGCTTTTAAACACTCACATTCCTCACTATTCAGATCTGATCCCTCCTGTGGGAACATTACCGACCATTCCCAACATTATCAGCTTTTTTAACAGATATCTGTAGCGTTAGGTATTTTTTAATCTTGGTGGCCAAGACACTAAGAAAATTTGAGGTTTCTAGACAATGCATATGACTGAAAATTAGCAAGTATTGAGCATTGCCTTTATAAAGCATTGACTCTGCCACTTTTTTTAGATATTAGTGTTTTGAATCCTTCAACATCCTTTAAAATAGATGTTAATGTCTCCATTTTAACAAAAGAGGGAAGCAGACTTAGAGAGGTTAGAATATTGGGGCTACATCTGTGTACAAATCCTGTGTTCCGTTCATAATCCCACAGCTTCTTATAGAAATTGTATCACCTGAAAATTATACAAAAATTATAAAAAGGGGAACATTGTTGCCTGACAGAGAGTATTTATTAACAGTCATAAGCTAACTATCTCACTGATTGTGTGAGCCTTATCCTACCACTTGTAACATCATGAAGAAAGGCATTATGTTGGCTCAAATAATTATGTTTCATTCTGCTTGGTCTTTCCAAGGCATGTTCTCCATGGGATGGCCTGCTTTTCTGAGCATTACACCAAATATCAAAGAAGAAGGAGCAATGAAAGAGGATTCAGGAATGCAGGATACACCATACAATGAGGTTAGATTAAAATAATCTAGTGTACAGTAACTGAGTACAAAGATACATTGATTTTGATATTAAGCTAAATAGGGGGGAAACAAGCTTATTCAGAATTCAGATAAAGTTATTCTATGTTTAATATGACTTAGACAAAATGAAATTAATACTGACATTAAACCAAGATTAATAGATGTCAGATTGCATTGATAAAGCATTATTTTCAATGAAAATTTAAATTAAGCTTTATTTACATCTCTAAGATGAATCCACGTGTGCGTGTTCAGCTCTTCTATAATATCTACAGTCTTTCGTCTTAATAAAGGCGATAAGGGATGCCAGAAATTTTACAAGCTGGTCTCAACTTTTTTCTTTAATGCATTAGCGAGTTTATTTACAAATGTAGTTGAACAGAAAGGCTCACTAGTTACTGCAGAAAGCTTCTGCTATGCAAAACACATTTAATTAATGAAAAGAAGAAGCTTTAAATGGGGAATTACTTAGCAACAATTCTGGCAAAGAAAACAGAGTTCCCTTATCAAATAAATAAAATATTTCATATGCTAATATTTTTTAAATCATAATGTTATACAGGTGGAAAAAGGATACAGAAAGGAAATTTGGGGGGTGAATTTTAATGAAATTTTTATATGTGGTTTACATCAATTTAGTGTACATTTCAAATAAATACAGTAAATGCAACTACATATTTATATTAACTATTTCAAATAATGTTTAAGAACCTTTTCTTTAAAGTCATTTTTAAAACATTCCAACAATATCATATGTTTGCTTTAGAGCTCCTATAATTCAGTTCAGTAAAACATTCACTAAACCATAGTACACGTGAGGTATTGAGCTGGGAAACAAAGATAAATAAGGCGTGATTACCACTCTCAAAGAGTTTAGAATCTTAAGAAAGGCATAATTCCTTTGGGGTGGGGAATGGCCAGTAACTATAAATCTAGGCATCATATATGGATACAATTAAAAGGGGAACAATTTTCCACATGAAAGTGGTCGGAATGGAGATGGATAGGACATAAATAGAAGCTCTCCATATTTTTGTGCTGGGTCTTGACATTTGATAGGACTCGAAGGTGTCAAATGAGGAATAAGGTTCTTGTAGGTGCAGCAGCAACATGGGCAAAAGCATGGAGGGAGAAAGTATTCTAAAATTGGAGCATGGTATGGTCGCAGTGCAAAGTCAATGTCAGGGTGTTGAAAGAAGGAGGCACAGAAAGAAAGGCTGGTGCTTCCTTGTGGAGCTCCTGGAATGCCAGGCTAGGGAGTTTGGACAGCAGTTCTTAGACTGGAGTTCCCACAAGGTTTAGGGCAGTACAGATCTCATGATCATACTTATGTTTTAGAAAGAAACACTACTGGAGAGCAGTAAATGGAGAGGGAATACAGATTGACCAGAAAATTACTGCAGGGGTCTGGGAATGATGTAATAGGGGTCGCATCTAAGTCAGTGACAGTGAGAATAGAAAGACCTAGACGGATCTGAAGGCATTCCTTAGGGTTAAATTAGCAATTTGGGGTACCAATTAGATGATGGTAGTGAGGGAAAGGGAAGAATCCAAGATGACACCACAATCCTTTACTGGGTTGTAAATCCCCTTAGCAAAGACAGGGAACACAGGAATCCTGCTAGGAAAAAACTTGACAGTGCAACAGTTTTGCAACCAAGTTCCAGAGATGAGCCACAACTTTAACCACATAAATCTCATTTTGATTGGGGGGGTTTGCAGAATATCCTGGTGGAGCAGCTGTACATGTGCGTGGAATTTCTTTGGAAGTCTGAGCGGTATGAACTCATCGCTGAGGTCAACAAGCCCATCATTGCTGTCTTTGAGAAGCAACGAGACTTCAAAGTGGGTATTCTAACCCCCTGGAGAAAAAAATATGTGTCCCGCTCCAAATTAGAAAATTACTTACAATTTTCAAAAGTAAAAGGTCCCTTTTTATGTCAATATCATCTTCATGAAACCCTTCAATTTATGATTTCAGAAATTGTCAGATCTCTACTACGACATTCACCGGTCATATCTGAAAGTGGCAGAGGTGGTGAACTCAGAGAAGCGGCTCTTTGGTCGCTACTATCGTGTGGCATTTTATGGGCAGGTAGGTTTAACAGAAGCATCGTAGCCTATCAGTTGCGCTGAGCAGTCAGCTGTAGTCTTTCATTCTTTATAAGACATCTAACTACTTGTGCTGATAAATGGAAGGGGTGTGGGAGTGGGTGTGTCTGAGTACATTTGAGTGTTTCTCCCAATGTGAGGGTCTATGTGTTTGCCCATAGGAATGTACTAAGCTGGGAAACAAATAAGCAGAGAAATCTATGGGCCTTAATGCAGATCAAGCTAAAAACAGTGATCTCTAATTTGCTGGAGAAAGAGGGGTGCTTATTTTCAGCCTCCTGTTCTTCCCAGTTCACCCCAAAATATCTATTTATAGGTTCATGTCATATATTAAATTCAAATTAAATGGAACATGTTTTAAGAAATGACCTTCATAGCTTTCTAGGAAGTAAAAGGATTCTTAGGGGCTCCATTATATCAAATCTTTGACTTTTTACAATCATGCAATTTCTTTCTCCTGCTTTCAAACTATCACTGTTTCTAAGCAGATCACTATATGGTTGCTTTGTTTCCTGTATTGCAAGTCAAGGTAATTTTAAAGTTATCTTTTCCATTGTACTGCACAAGTAATAAATAAGACTGAAAACAGTGGCTAGCCATAAGCATTGGCCTGAAAGTGAACATATTACGTTTTAATTATGAATGTCTCTGAGCAGTGCTTTAAATGGGATACTCAGGCACACCACCTTGGTGTTTGTTTGTTTGTTTGTTTGTTTGTTTGTTTGTTTGTTTCAGGAAGGCTTTTGACTCTATTGTGCCACCTTGGTGTTTGTTTGTTTGTTTGTGTGTTTGTTTGTTTGTTTGTTTGTTTGTTTGTTTGTTTCAGGAAGGCTTTTGACTCTATTGTGTTTGTTTGTTTGTTTGTTTGTTTGTTTGTTTGTTTGTTTGTTTGTTTGTTTGTTTGTTTGTTTGTTTGTTTGTTTGTTTGTTTGTTTGTTTGTTTGTTTGTTTGTTTGTTTGTTTGTTTGTTTGTTTGTTTGTTTCAGGAAGGCTTTTGACTCTATTGTATTTCAGCTCAAGTATTTCAGATGGTTGCTCTTGCAGATAAACAGTCCATTCATTTATTTTCACAGTTGCAATGACTCTAGGACCTCTTACCTCCTTCCCCACCTCATGTAAGGCACTCTTCTTACACACTCACACTCAGCCTCTTGTTCTCCTCAGAATCTTTTAAGGCTGCAGCTGAAGGAGTCAAATCCAGAGTGGTTATTCTAGAACATTTCCGATTGAAGTCTTTTGAAAAACATAAAAGTTTCCTGTAATCACCAAAGGCAACTTAAAAACTAAGTTCTGCATTAATACAGATCGTTTCTACCTGGAAAGGAAACTATCACCGAGTAGCCACTTTTTCATAAACAAATTAGTCCAAGCTGGATTCTTCTCACAGCACAACAGCATCAGGATTATAGAGAAAGAGAAATCCAGTGGTGTGAGGAACAGAGATCTGCAGAGACAGTCTATGGAAAAAGCTAAATTTAGACACTGTGAGGGTCTGTGGAAAAGAAATGAACTATCTGCAGTGATAGTATATACTGGGGGAAAGAGGCGTGGGGATCTTTAGGAGAGGACAAAAGAGAAGAGGAAATGGTATCTTGGAAGCCATGAATAAAATATGCAGTTTGTGACCTTGGTGAAACATTAGCAAGAAAAATGGCAGAAAACCCCATCGTGAAGGGGAGGTGGGACTTGAGGAATTGAAGGGGAAATATAGGGTTTCAAGGGAGATGGCTACAGGCTAACTGAACAGCACAGTAGCCCACAATGTGTGCATTTGGCTAAACCAGATATGACTCTGCAACTCTTCAGGACATCTTTCCAGTGAAAAGGAATGAATTACCATTAATACCCTGGTCATGAAAACCAGATTGCTTACCTAATGGTTTCTCCAACCAGTATCTGAAATATAGGCCATTAATTAGGTGGAAACAAATCATGCTGCTTTTCAACTAGTTTTTAATGCAGATGTTTACTCTTTTCTCCTTTTGGTCTTGATTGTTTCAGGCTGTGGTAAGTTTGCTCTCTTCACTTGCATGCTCTAATAATCCTCACACTTCCCTCTGTATGGTTTTACTGAATCTTAACTTTTTTTGTGCAAATCAACATTTGGTATAAAGGGTGAGATAACCTTGCTTTTGTTCATTTTAGAGTCATCCTGCATTTCTTGAACTAAATTGTGTTTATTCCAGTTATCTGAATTACAAAAATGTATTCTTTGTTTTTCATATATATTATCTCTCTGCACAAACGTAGATGTTGCCTGAAAGCCTTACACACACATGCGCACACACACACACACACACACACACACACACACAGATAAGTGTATGTAGAGTAGACTTAGCATTGGACATCACCTTCTTATTTGAGGCCGCTATGAGTTGCAGCTTATTAAAAAGACCAGGGTGGTCAGAATTTCAGAAGGTGGAATGATGGCTGTAGAGGGGCACATTCCCAGGGTTGTGAAAGGACCATTCCACTTTCTAAAGCAGTATCTTGGAGAGACAGGACTTTCTATGACGGTGAGCAGTGAACATTCTCAGATACCATGGTATTGACTCCCAGCACAAAAGATGAGCACAGGAATAAATCTTGACCCAATAGTTCAGGTTAAGTTTTCAGAGATGCAGAAAGAAGTGAGGTAAGAAATTTGGAGAATAAGCTAAGGCAGAAATAACCTGCCAGTACTTAGAACTCTGTGACAAAGAAGAATTTTCTTTGTATTCTTTTGAATTATGTGCAATTGCCTATAACCAACCAATTTTTTTACCTGTGAAAATGACAACTTCATATGGTTCAACGTAATTATTGTTGATGAAGCTGGAAAGAAAAATTATTTCAATATCCACATGATGTCTGTCCACATTCAACTCTACTTGTCTGACCAGTGCATACTTTTTTGTAATTCTTTGACTTCCTTCCCACATCCATACCATACCAGTATTTTCTACTTTCATTTATAAGTTTGGGGTCATGGGTCCTTAACTCACGTACTAAAAGAATACTTGAAAACCCCTGTACTAAATAGACTGAGGGGACGATGGGGAAGGATTGGGGAGATCTACTTTCAAATGACCTGACTTTGTTCTTTTTGCAGATTCCTCAGTAAAGTGTGCTGATTGTACACCTGACTTTTTATTAATGCTGCTGTATTTTCAATTGTCTTTTATAAATAATTCCAATCTGAACTTAAAAGGCAACGGGTATTTTTAAATCTGTAGTCCTGAGAACGTGTCTAAGCATGGCACCTCGTAGGCTCAACCCCCAACTGCCTTTGAACAAGAACTATAGGAGGTCGTCCTGATAAGCAGCAAATTAGAGCCACAGTCATAATTGTTCAGATGACATTCAAGATGCCTGTCCCAAGACACCAAATGGAGAATGTGAACTGTGGTACTCAACAGGAGCCAGCAGCACACATCACTTCACACATGATGACAAATAAATACCAAATAGCCATGAACATTCCCCCGAACATGTGCAGAATGAAGGATCCAGACAGCTAAGATAAAATCTAAACTACATGATTAGCATAATCCCTGTGGTCAGAAATAATTTCTTATTCACGATGGTGCTTTATTTCCCTGTAAAACTTACCTTTTAATATCCAAATTGACATGTCTTACGATCATGTTAAAAAGATTACAGAGATATAATATGCAGTAGGCTCTTTGCCCCCACAAAGGCCTTTGGGTACATGGTTTAGTGTCCTATGTGAACTAGTGCTTTAGTTTTATCATACTGACTAGGATATTGAATATTAATTGTGTCTGCAATGAGACAGACACTGGAAAACAAGTTGAAAGCTATTCTTTTACAGCAGTAACTTTAAATAATGCAAGTTTTTCATAGCATGAATTTTCTAACGCAACACCTGGCATCATTGGCTATGGAAATTTTACACGAAGCAGCCTATATAAAGCATCCCCCAAAGTGTCCCTGAAGTTTTCATTTACAGAGTAATGAAACAGCAGTAGTGATCAAACATCAGTTGTAATTAATGAAATCCTTAAGCCCTGGTATTTAGCATGAAAGCAAGCAAGTGAATGCCCATCGCATAACTTAAAAGATCAGATGCCCTGGAATTAATTAAATGAAAGACCTGGGGGGATTGTATTCTGTTCATCAAGGGATATAGATTCCATGATTCTCAATCATGCCTACATGTGTATAGATGCATCTCAGAACCTTCACAGAAAAGGAATTAGGGGGAGAAGGGAAAATGCATGTGTAGCTTAGCTTGCAAAACCAAACCCCCCATCCCCAATCTCGGATGTGACACTCCCTTCCAGCTCCTCACCTACATGAAAATCACTGATCCACACTACATATATAGAGAGTTAGACGTCGTAACTGTGTTCATATTTATATGGAACCATTTCTTTGTATTCTTGTGGCTTAATTTCTCTTAGCTTTAGACTGTTATTATTTTCTGACCCATCTTTTGTACTCTAGATTCCTCTTTGAATGCATTCTTTTGTTTGTGAACTTTGAATTAGTAGAATACAATAGGAGGGGCACTTATATTTGACATTCCACTGATGATCCGGGGCATTGCAAGAGTCTGAAGTACCTGCAAAACATCTGAGAAGGAGTCAATGATTTTAGTTGACAGTTTAATGAAGTACATTTTTATCATAATTTACTACATTGAAGTTTCATAATTCATGCATGTTGACTTTCCTGGCTCTAAAGTCAGTTGACTTTAAAGTCCTTGTTTAACTAGAATGTCTTGTTTCCAAGCCATGGTAGATGAGGGCGTTTATTGCATTATAAAATTACATTTTAAAAAATCAAGCTAGCAAAGGAAAAGTAGAGGTCACATTTCCCATGGCCTTAAAAAGTAGTCAACTCACAGCCTTGGAGCTAAAGCAAAAGAGAAACTGGTTGTCATCACCCTGTGTCCCTGTTTATAAATCATTTATTCCATAGACAAAGCTGAAACTAAAGCCGTCCTTCAGATAGTGCTCTGTAACTCAGTGGGCTTTGCTTTGACAGTTCCCTGTGTTTAAGGTAATCACGCATTCCTAGCAACTTCAGACCTGCCATTTGTCTGGCTCCAGAAGCTCTTTACACAAATGCCTGGCAGACAGCAGATTAAATTCTTTATTCTGCTATTCCAGCTCCTTCTTACTCATTTTATAAAATAGTCTCCATAGGTTTACATGTCCACACTCTTTAAAAAACAATTCTAAACACTGTTTCTTTCTGATTGATCACTGACCAAAATATTGAAATGAGCGCCAGTAGACCTTTTATAATAACAAAAATTGTAGTGCCCTTGAATGACAAGGTACAGGTATGTATTTTTAAGCACTCAAAACTGAGTTAAGCTGTTTCCCTGCATAGGAGCCAGAACTCAAATTGCTTTATGGACACAGAATTTTCTTCTTCCATGTTGTCACCATCATAACCATTGTCATCATCATCATGGTCATCATCCGTCACCCTCATAGCCAACACTCACCAAAGGCCTCCTGTATACCAGTGCTGTCCTAAGGGCCTCCCAGTAGATTGCTGAGTCTGTACTTTTCCCATCCTACAGTCTAGGGAGTAAGGATGAAAGAAAATCACAGGTCATGACCAAGGCCGCAAAAATCATGATGATGACAATAAAAACTTACTTTCCACCACTCATTTTCTGCTAACTCTGGTTTTGAAAATTTGTCAGGGGGAAAATTCACAGTGAAAATGTCTTTCCTGACTAGTTTTCACGATGGTGAAAAAAAATCTTTTCCTGAAACTTGGAGACATTTTTCTTATTGGAATTGAAGTTGCAAATGTTGCTTTAGCTTTGGCCCTGTGAGGATTCTGGTTGATAGCTTTAGAAGTCTTATTTCTCTGATGTGTCAGTCTGTCAATTTTAGCCACTAACTTCTGACCTTGAAGCAGACAAAATTCCACAAAGACAGCAACAGAAAAAAAACATAGCAGGCTGGAAGTCAAGTGAGAATGGGGTCAGACCTCACTTTCCCCTACTAAGTCCAGATGAATGAAAAGGGAATTTCTTTTTATGCTTTCAACATTATACATCACTTTTTAGCAGTTGGTCTTGAACATTTCTCAAAGAAATTATTCAATAAAAACACCTTTATTAGAAGCAATGGAATCTTTCCTAGTTATACCTAGAGCAAATAGACCTTTTTGAGATGTATGCCCACTAAGAACTATTTCATTCATCGTTAGCAAATATAAGCAAATATAAAGTGACCACCTCCTAAAGGCCTGGCAATGTGGTAAACACCGGGCATGCAGTGTTGAACAAGACATATTCCCTGCCTTTAGAAAGACCAAAGTCTATTAGGGAGATGCACAAAGAAACAGGCAGTTACAGCTTGACAAGAACTGTGCTGAGGAATGGACCTTGTTCATTGGCTCCTGCAAATGGACAGCGACAGCCCAGTTATGATACAAAGTATCCTGTTAATGATGATCACTTTTTCATGTGTGAAAGTGCTTTACAAGTGTAAGGCACCATACAGATGTGAGTTTAATCATTGTTCTTATATTGCCTCCCATCATCCATGAAAAATACAGCATTGAAACCTTTTCTCCATGATTTTTTTACGTACAATGAGTGTTTTTAAAGAGTCAAAAATGATTTTTTTTAAGATATGGCTGAGCTTCCTTTTGACCTCCAGTATCTTCATCGGACCTCAAAAGCCATTTTCTCAAGGTGAACTCTGCAGTCAGAAGAAACCAGATGCACCTGGATTCTTAACTCCCAACTTAATCTAGGATTCTGAGGCCACACTGTATTCCACAGGAGAAATGCTTCTGTGTCTCTTCGAAGTGAAGGAATTATAAATATTGCCTCAGTTATCTTCAGATAATGGAATCTTCCCTTCCCCTGCTTCCAGCCAGACAAATAAATTAAGAGAAGCTAAAACCTACTTGCTCCTGTCAAATAAAAATGTTGACATGGTTGCTTATTAACCCTAGAAGGTCTAGGTTTTCAGGAATGTAAAAGATCTATTAGTGTAGTAAATTGAATGGTTGAGTTATATATAGCTAAATTGCCTTGGTTCCCTGAAGTCATATTAATGTAAAGTTATTTTTTAAACAGCAGGACTTGGGAGAACACCACATATAATTTCTGCTATGACAACAATATAAAGTGTCATGGTCTTTCATCTAAGGTGATGTGGGATGCTTGTTTACCCATTTCAGTTCCTTTACACACCATACAATGTTTACTATGCTAGTTTCAAAGACTTGTAGAAGACTTTATTAAAAATGATATTCTCAATAATGCCCCTAATTACTCCACACTTTGTGTTCTATCCCAGGCTGCCACAAGAGGACACTCTTTCCCCAAAATATATGCAAGCAGCTATTAGCATTGATTTCTATAGTGAAAATATGTGTAAAATATGTGTAAGATATTCCACGAGGTTCTTTGGCCTAGCTAGGGAATATTTACATTAATGTCTAATTGTAATACGATATTTTGTTTTCTTCACATGGTTCTTTGATTTTGGATTTTATAGGATGCTAATCAATGGCTTGGATGACAAACAAAAGACTGAGTGTATTTTTTAAGTCAATGGCTTTTTGTTTTGCTTCTCATTTGTAATTGGAGTTCTCTAATAAAATTTGTGGTTCATTATGTGTCTTCCATAGGGGTTTTTTGAAGAAGAAGAAGGTAAAGAATATATTTATAAAGAGCCTAAACTGACAGGTCTTTCTGAGATTTCGCAAAGACTACTCAAGCTCTATGCAGATAAATTCGGAGCAGACAATGTGAAGATAATCCAGGATTCCAACAAGGTAAAGGAAAATCAATATTCATGCAAGTACTAAGAATTGACTTAATTTTAAAAAAAATTTTAGCTGTATTTATTAAGTTTTAATTTTCTGTCTGATTTTGCAAAGTAAACTACCAAAACTATTTTGAGTGTTTTGCTTGGTTGTTTGGTTGTGGTTGGTAGCTGATTTTTTTTTAATCAAAAACATTATAAGTGTTTATTAGAACAACTTTTAGGTCATCTTAGAAACATTATACATGTTTTTCTAAGATGACCTAAAAGTTACTAAATTCTGTGTTTCTCCCTTAGGATATTTATATTTGAATAGCAATCAAAGCATTAAAGTGATTGGGCCTAAAGGTGGAATTGGAGAAAACTGCAAGTTGAAAATATTTATTCAGTCAAGGAGGTCTTTCTGGGTCATACCAGTTTTGAAAGCTGTCCTCTGTGATAGTAACAGACTTGCTGGTCACATTGCAGTACCCTGTGAACATACAATTAACCTCCTGTTGGCTCTAGAAAACAAATGCTTACATCCTTTACTCAATCTTCCTATGCCCTCTCATTCATTTAGCCAACCTCTATTAAGCACTTACTGCATACCAGGCCCAGAAGTAGGAGCCAGAGCATACAGAATCTCCTCCTTCCAGAGCTCACAGTTCGCATGGGGCTAAGAAGAGAAGAACTTGTGCAAACAGCTAATTAAATAGAATGCGATAAAGGACCACCAGAGAGTTATGGTCCAAATATTGCAGGGAAAGCCCAGGGTAGGGGCCTCGCTGAACTGCTCATTCTTGTTTGGACAGCAGTACATAGAAGAGGTGATGTTTGAGCTGGGAATTGCAGGGGAGGTGTTTGCTGGAAGCAAAGGGCGTTCTGAGAAGCCGAGCACATGCAGTGGCAGGGAGGATTGAAAGAGAGAGATGTGTTTAGAGAATGGAAGGTCAGCTGGAAAAGCTGATTTATTCCCAATGGTATAGGGTTCTACTGGGCCACAGAAGGGGTCTTTTTGTTTCCTGTCCTCTTTTACAAAGCTGGTATTTAGAGGGGTCTGGGCATGAGATCCCTGGGTCTGGTCAGAAGTTGTAGGGAATGTGTTCGTCATTATCCTCCTTAGCTTGAAAGGTACAATCGCCTTCCCCATAAAGGCAGATGGAGCTAGAACTACTGTAGTAGTGGCATTCCTAAGAAGGAAGTGTAGACAGAGTTCCTGGGGATGAGAAAAATGCCATTCGTATTTGGTGTCAGAACAACTGAAGTCTTCATTCCACTATCCCACCACTTTTCAGCTGGTCACCATGGAGAAATTAGCTGGCCACTCTGAACCTCCATTTTTTAATCTATAAAATGGTTATGATTATACACACCTTAACGGTGTAATTATTGATAGCATTACAAGTAAGTTCATGAGGTCCCTTAACTATCTGAAATTGTACAGGCAATGATGGGTAGACAGATGGAGAGAATTAGAAGAAGTCTGAAAACTCTTCAAAGTATCATTGGAAAAGAGGCTGAGAACTGTCTCTTCCAACCTCAAACGAGACCAAGAGCAGTTCCCAGGTCTTTCTTGGGACCCCCAGCCTGTCTTTCTTGCTCTTTGTCAAGCCTGTTCACCAAAGCAGAGTTAGTTAAGTGCATAGAGTGGATTGTTGCAGATAAGAGAAGGAATCTGAGATGTTGAAAATAAAAATATTTGCAATCATGTAATAAGCTAATCAGTCAATCTGCTAAATACACAAGGAACTTCTCTACATATTACAGCCAGTGACCCCAGTCCAGGTTCATGTCTACATCATGGAGGGGAAAAGAGATATATTGCCACCCTCAAGAAGGTTGCATTCTGGAAAAAACCATTTGGACATTCATTACAGAAGAGAAAGAAAATAAAAGGTTACATAATATGCCACAGTTGGCCACTTATGTTACAAAAGCCCCAGCAACTTGGCGGGCTGGCTCCAATCCTACCACAATCTGGCGGCCTGGCCACAGTCCAGCCAGTTACTCTTTCTGTGGTCCCACCCAACTCTGAAATGATATGATTGCCCATTTTTCTCCAAGGGAAGAGGGCCAGCCTCCTCAGAATGCTCACTGAGGGAGCTTCTGCCCTTCCATATTAGCCTGTTTCTGTTGCTTATAACAGAAATACCTAAAACTGAGCAATTTACAAAGAAACAATATTTATTATTTATAGTTTCAGAGCTGGGAAGTGCCAAGTTCAGGGAACACATCTGGTGAGAGCTTTGTTGGTAGGTAGTGACTCTTCACAGCAAAGCAGGGTGTCACATGGTGACAATGGCAGAGCAGAGAGAAAGCTGACTCCTCACTTGCTCTCCTTCTAAAGCCATCAGAACCAGGCCCATGACCACCATTAAACCACCGGTGGATGAATCCATTCATGAGGGCACAGTCCTCACAATCCAATCACCTCTTCAAGGCCCCACCTTTCAATGACCATAGGTAGGATTTCCCACCCTCTCACACTGTCACAGTGGGAGCTGAGTTTCCAATACCCAGAACTTGGGGGACACACTTCAATCCAGAGCACCTGCTCTCAGGAGCATCTTACTCACCACTCCTTCTCCATCCATAATGTGTTGACACAGGTAAATCCCAAAGAGCTGGACCCCAAATATGCCTACATCCAGGTGACCTACGTCACCCCATTCTTTGATGAAAAAGAAACAGAGGACCGGAGGACAGACTTCGAGATGCACCACAATGTCAACCGCTTTGTCTTCGAGACACCCTTCACGCTGTCGGGCAGGAAGCACGGCGGTGTGGCCGAGCAGTGCAAGCGACGCACCGTGCTCACAAGTAGGTGCGGGCAGAGCGGCGGCCACATGCCACGTGCCACATGCCACAGTGCGGGCCCCTCCATCAGCTGGGATCCCTGGGCATCAAGGGTTATTTCAGTCCTGCCGATAAGCGCCTGAAGTGTGCTGCCCTGGAAATGTGTGCCAGGAAAAGCAGATGTCACCCTCGTTATTCTCAAGAGGGAGACCCTGGAGAGGTCAACCAGAGCAGAGACTGTCGATGGAGTTAGTTTACACACCTCTCCCCTTAGATCGTACGGGATCATAAGGGTCATGGTGTCGGTGCCTTGAGAAAGGCACAAGGCACTCTGAACCCTCCTCTCGTCGTCTCTCCTGTCTCCCTCAGTCTACCCTCAGTGGCTCTCCTTAGATCGTACGGGATCATAAGGGTCATGGTGTCGGTGCCTTGAGAAAGGCACGAGGCACTCTGAACCCTCCTCTCGTCGTCTCTCCTGTCTCCCTCAGTCTACCCTCAGTGGCTTCAGGATTAGCAGCTCTCATCCCTGTGTGCTTTGGGACAAGATTCTGAACCACTGTGGGATTCAGATTCTTCATCTGTAAAATGAATGCAGACACTGATCTCCAGCATCCCCCCGGTGCGATCTAGATCTGTGCTACGAGCTAGTCATCCTTCCATTTACTCAGCACACATTTAGTGAGTGCCTACTAGGTCCTGGGCACCATTCTAGATACTGGCAATTCACATAAATAAAGTAAAAATGTGATTCTTGCCCTCAAGGTGCTCACAGTCTGGTAGGAGAGAAAGGCCAGTAAAGCAAGAATTTTGGGTGAGCACAGCATGGGAACAAAATGGGAACACACAGTGGGGGCTCCTAGGGCCTACTGCGGGGAAAGATGAGCAAAGATGTGCTGGAGGAAATGATACGTCAACTGTCTTGAGAGATGGGCAGTCCTGATTATGCAACAGACACCTCAGTAGCACTGACATCCAGACTATGAGACACATTCACCTTCAGTAAACTTACCCGGAACTTTTGTAATTAAAAAACTCTAGAGCAGAGCTGTTATACTTCAGGGGAATCTTTGACTCTTCACTTGCCCACAACCTTTAACTCCTCTTGTGTGGCTTCTGTGCAGCGAGTCACTTGTTCCCCTATGTGAAGAAGAGAATACAAGTCATAAGCCAGTCGAGCACAGAACTGAATCCTATTGAAGTGGCAATTGATGAGATGTCCAAGAAAGTGTCTGAGCTTAATCAGCTTTGCACCGTGGAAGAGGTGGACATGATCAGACTGCAGCTTAAACTCCAAGGAAGTGTCAGCGTAAAGGTGAGTGAGTGTCACCCTGAGTCGAGGTGCACATAACCAGTGAAACCTGGCATTAAATGCCCTGGGAATTTTTTTACAAAGGATATAAGAATTTTTTTCTATTTGTGATGTCATCCAACACTTTAATCTGGGTCTTTTAAATTATGTTTAGGTGCCCAGCCAACTACCAAAAAAAAAAAATTGTGTCTAATTGTAAATGCACAT